CCCCCCCCCAACCCAGAAGGGCCCCTGAGCCCCCAGGAGGGGGCAGGATAGCCCCCAGACACCCCACCCAGGGCAGGACCACAGCACCGTGCGGCCAGGCCGCCCCTCACCTTCCACCTGCTCTTGGCGAAGTTCTTCTTGATCTGCTCGCTGACGGACTGGTGGATGTTCTTGTCCAGCGCCGTGTCCCCGGCGATCCTGGGGGCAGGCGGGGTCGGGAGCGGGTCAGTGCGGTCCTGAGGGCTGCCCCAGTGCAGGGAGCCAGGGAACCCGGAGGCAGCGTCCCCCTTACCAGGGGTGCTGCAGGGCCTGCTCGCAGGTGAAGCGCTTGCCCGGGTCCTTTTCCATCAGGTGCTTGATGAAGTCCTTGGCTGTGGGGCAGCAAGCACGGACAGTCGGGCAGTCCTGGGGCCGCAGGGGTCGGGGCACCCAGCCAGGCTTTAGCCCCCACGCCTCGACCCCTCCCTGAGCCCCCTCCAGCCCTGGTGCTGCCAAGATGGGCCCGGCCGTGCTCACCCGAGTCGGAGATGTCGTCCCAGTAGGGCGAGTCGAACTCGTACTCGGCCCGCAGGATCTGCTCGAAGAGCTTGGCATCGTTCTCGTCGTAGAAGGGGGGGTAGCCGCACAGCCTGCGGGGACAGAGACAGTGGGCACGGGCCGAGGGCAGGGCAGAGGGCAGGGGCTGCAGCCAGGCCCCGGCCCTGCGGTACGTACAGGATGTAGGCGATGACGCCGATGGACCAGCAATCCACCGCCTTGCTGTAGGGCTTCTGCGCCAGCACCTCCGGGGCTGCAGGGAGCAGGGCCATCAGCAGGGGCAGACGCGACCCGCACCCCTCCCTGGCCCCCCCAGCCTGGCAGAAAGCCCGGTGTCTCCCCAGGCCCCCAGCTGCTCGGAGGGGGCAAGGGCCCTGTCCAGGGGCACTCACCCACGTAGCCGGGCGTGCCGCACGCCGTAGACATGACGCTGCCGGAGCCCTCGATCTTGGACAGCCCGAAGTCACTGATCATGATCTTGGAGTCCTCGTCCAGGCTGTAATAGAGCAGGTTTTCGGGCTGCACAGGAGGGAAGGGGGGTCAGAGCGGGCACCCAGGGATCTGGCCCCCATGGGTGCAGCCGGCCTGGGCAGCCCTGCTCAGTGTCACCCTGGGCCTCACACATGCGTGCAATCCCGAACCGGCACCCCCACACGCCTGCACATGCAGCCAGGCACGACCCCGGCCCCCTCACGCACCTGGACCCATGCACACCCAGGCATGCCATGCACAGCCCCTGGCCCCAGCACAGCTGCCCCATCTGCCACAACTGGCCTTTCACCTGCACGTTCCCCGCCTCGCTCGGCAGCTGCCTCCGCCAGGGAGGCCAGGCCCTGCTGCTCAGGCTGTGCTGGGCAATGGGGTGGGGACAGGACAGGGAGCCGGGGAAGAGCCCCTGAGGGCAGCGCCAGCTCACCTTGAGGTCACGGTGCACGATGCCCATGTCATGCAGGTACTTGACGGCGTCCAGGATCTGCCGGATGAGCTGGCTGGCATCACGCTCCGTGTAGAAGCCCTTCTCCACTATGCGGTCAAACAGCTCCCCGCCCGACACCCTGTGCAGGGCAGAGAGGTCAGCTGGGGGCAGGGCACCGCGGCCTGCCCCTGTGGCAGGGCCCGCACCTGGACCGGGCATCCTACCCCGCAGTGCCGGGACTCACAGCTGCATGATGAGGTAGAGGTGGCTGCTGCTCTCATAGATGTCATCCAGAGCAACGATGTTGGGGTGCTGGATCCTGCGGGGCAGACGCGAGGTGAAGGGCCCCGCTGCTGTCCCTACCCCGTGCCCCTGGCCCAGCAGCTGCACACTGAGCCCGGGGCTGGGCTTAGGGGAAACCAGCACCCCCTGGGATGGGCCATGCGGGGGAGGTCTGCTAGCATCGGGCAGAGCATGGGGCTGGGCTCCGGCAGCACGGCACCAGGATGCTGCGGCCCCTGCTGCATCCAGCACCTGGGAGAGGGCAGGTGGGGTGAGGTGCACTAGCCCTGGCATCCTGCAGCCCCCGGGCCATGTGCAGGGGGGCCATGAGGGCCCAGGGCAGGCTGGGGCAGGCAGTGCCTACTTGTGCAGGACGTCGATCTCGTTCTCGATGCTGGTCTCCTTGCCCTCCAGCGCCTTCTTGGTGATGCACTTGATGGCCACCAGCTTGCGGGTCGTCCGCTCCTCCGCCAGCACCACCTCCGAGAAGGCACCCCTGGAGGGGGG